AATACATCTCTCTGTAATAAAAAATCAGATTGACCTAGAAATTGAATGGCAGTCAAGGTGATATTTCCTTTTCCTTTTTCTAAAATGTAAGCTGAAAAAATGAAAAACCCCTTGTTTTACATTTTTAATTTATGTAAGTGTACATATCGGAATTCTGTATTTACACGTGATACTTTTTCTCTTATCCAAATGATACTGTCAGAAATTTCTGAATTTTGAGATTAAAAAAATGCTATTTTAAAATGACATGTAACAAAGAACTGTTGGTTTGGTTTAAAAGAAAATTCAACCCTTAAAAAGTATAATACGTAGTGTAGAACTTTTTCCTTTTTTATACATATATAAGTGAATGTGTATGCCTGGTGTTCCACTTGCATGATTATTTTCGACGATGAAAAGTTGTGAATTTATGTGTTTTTCTTTATAATAATTGTTAATCACTTCAACTCAAGTGTACTTGAAGGAAAGTTTTCATCTCGTAATATCGGTGTATAACAAATGTACTCACCGGTACAAAAATGTTAGGAAAAGCTTAAGTAAAAAAAGCCAACTTATAAAGAATTATCATATTCCTTCGTGCTTGTTCTCGATGTGTAAGTGGTTAGCATATCTAATTAAATTTAACGATCCTCCGGGGTTCGAGTTCTGAAGAGTGCAAAGCTGACTATTTACGTTTCCAGATTCTTAAAAAAAGTAATCATCTTTACATTTGCTGTCGAATTACAGTGTGAGGGATGGTAATTAGATTTAGACGATTGGGTCTCGTGCCTTTTCCAATCGCATTTTTAAGTACTTTTCTTAGTAGAAGGACTTTGCTTTCGGTAATGAATAATTTTAAACTTCATTTTCCTTCTTAAATATTGATAAACAATGTAAAAATAGCAAACAGGTACTTGTATATCATTGTTCTTTGGCTTATGCCTTTAATTAGGGTAACTGAATTCTCTTAAGAAAATCCACATAAAAGGAACGAACACCTCAAATCCCTAAAGGCGTAAATCCAAATCCACCTTTTCCTTCCCTTGTCGGTGGGATCATCTCTTCCCTGTAACTGCTTCCAGTATGGTCGGGAACTGATGGATGTTGACTGATCACCAAGAAGTCTCGCCAAGTTACGAATTCCGACTCAGCGGCCAAGAAATAAGACTACACTGAAGTCATGATGCACGCCTCATTACCTGGGCAATTACAGAGGCAAAGCCGATAAACAGTTACCAAATTTTACTACCTCACTTACGGCCTCAAAACTTTTATCAGCGTTCAATTTACGTCATGCATTTAAAGGAGGCAAGCTTTAAGATATTTCCCCTCCTTCACCCTGCAACAGCGAAGGAATCTTGATCAGGATCTTACTAGAATTGGTTTCTTAAATACCTCCTGGCTCGTTTTAATTTGTCAGCGTTTGAAAATGGCGACTCTTTCTGGATGGGTTACGAGCCATGAAACGATCTTGAATTCCGTTGAACAAGTGCTATGTTATAAGGAATCTTGCTTGTTGTTTCTATCTAAGTTTTAGTAATAACTTTTCACCTCGTGTTTAAATTTTAGTAATAACTTTTGATGATGGGAAGCAGCTTTTGGCCATAACTAAGACTTTAATATTCATTAACATTTCAAACTACTAAGTGTCTGAACGTGCTTTTACCCGTGAGAATTTAAGAATAGCCGTTAATAACTTCCGACTCTATCTTTTGGCAAGTAATTTCTTCGGGATATTCTCGTTATCCGTATATTACATTTTATTGCTAAACAAAGTGGCGTGATATTTTATGCAATATTGCCGCTCTTTAAAGGTGTTTCCTAAAGACAAAATATACACTCAAATTCTAATCATTAAATACTTCCAAAAGTGCATTTGTGTGGAATTATTGGAGAAAACGATTGACACACTTCTAGCATTCTAAGTGTCTTTATTCCCTGGAATACATTTCATGATTAAAAAAAATGTTTCGCATGGTCTCTGAAATAAATTCGAGAAGATCTGAGTAAAATATCCCTGTTTATTCAGAACTTTAAAAAACTTAGTAGTAGATTAAAACAATTTAAGAGTATTATACTTGGGAAATCATAATTTACTTCTCCATGAACAAGATTATGTAGAAAATATACAAAATACAATAATTCTACTTTTAAAGCAATAAAAAAAAGCTGCTTTAATTGGTGGATGAAGTCTGAATTTGATTTTTTTAAGTTTTATCCTGATCATAAATGCGTACATAACATTCATACATAATCATAAAAAGTTTGCCTTGAACCTTTTACGACCACTTAAGAAATAGCACAAAACTAGTTTTAATACTATATTCATAATGAATGCTTCTTTGAATTTTAATATTTTTGCTCGTTGGGAAGTACACAAATATAAAAAGACTCCGGAATTCTAAATTATTCCTTATTATTCAAGTTATAAGGTATTTCTCCCGCTTTCCTAGCGTGCCTTCGTAGTGTAGTGGTTCTGCACGCTGGGCTGGTATTCCAGAGGTTCGTGGTTCGATTCCCGGCGAAGGCGGTTGCTAAATTTTCATCTCTCCGGGTTTTCAATTAACCTAATGTCTCTACAGTGGCGACCGAACTATAAAGGGTGTTAGATGAGGATTCTCCACATGCAGGAATTGGCGATTGGGTCGCCTAAATATCCCAGTCGCTCTTTAAAAGGGGGAAATGTATAAGGTATTTTCCCCGCCTTCCTAGAGTGCTTTCGAAGTGTAGTGGTTCTGTACGCTGGGTTGGTATTCCTGAGGTCCGCGGTTCGATTCCCTGCGAAGACGTTGCTAATTTTTTATCTTTGTCTGCTTGCAAAAAATACCTAATGTCTACAAAGTATATGCATATGTTTACTCACATTCGTATATAAACTGTTGTATATAAACTGGATGAAATTTGTGCACAGTTGAAAGCAGCATGCATTTATTTTTGAAATGCTTTCAAATTTCACAGAAAAAAGAATGCATTTGTATTTTTTAAAAAATTCCTAGAGTGCTTTCGAAGTGTAGTGGTTCTGTACGCTGGGTTGGTATTCCTGAGGTCCGCGGTTCGATTCCCTGCGAAGACGTTGCTAATTTTTTATCTTTGTCTGCTTGCAAAAAATACCTAATGTCTACAAAGTATATGCATATGTTTACTCACATTCGTATATAAACTGTTGTATATAAACTGGATGAAATTTGTGCACAGTTGAAAGCAGCATGCATTTATTTTAGAAATGCTTTCAAATTTCACAGAAAAAAGAATGCATTTGTATTTTTAAAAAAATCCTTCAAACACGGAGGTATTTTTTTCTTTTCTGGAAGTACTCTTCTTTTTTTTTTTTTTTTTTTTTTTCAAATATTAATCCTTAACAGGTGTATTTTCTTTTGTAAAACTTCATAAACAAATGCAGAGTATTAAAAGTACATACGCTTCTAACTTAAGTTTTATACTGCTAAATAAAAAAGAAAAACGTAAAATATTGGTAAGTTTTTTCAAAATTTAAAGCTATAAGGTATTTCTCCAGCCTTCTTAGCATGCCTTCGTGGTTTAGTGGTCAGCACGCCCGACGCGTATTCAAGAGGTCCGTGGTTCGAGTCCCGGCGAGGGCGTTGCTCATTTTTTATATCTCCTGCTTCGAAATAACCTAATGTCTCTACAAAGCTAATAACTAAGACCAACAGGAAATTAAAATTTTCAATTGTAATGGACAGAAAATATTGTATTCAGTCGCATATTAACACCCGCACCATATTTTCAGTAAACATGTTGCGGCCACGGACAAGTTTGCACATTCTTTGTGCCTATTTCAAGAGGTTTACATTTTTTGTAACTTTGCAGTAAGGACGAAGCAGCAGCCAGCATACCGGATAGGTCGAAAAGTAGCGGACAACTGTTATGTTCACAATGAAATTTTAATTCAGATGAGTTAGTTTTGATTCTCAATGCATTTTGATTGGATAATTAATATTGCTGCAAAATTATTATTGGCTGTTTGAATTTTAGTTGCATTTACATTATCAGAATTACATAAGAATCATATAACCTGAATTAGTCTCGAAATGACGCAGTGCAAATAGAGATTACTATTTTTAGAATACAGAGGGAAATTAATTTATGTTGCTAAGTTTAATTATAATTTATCTTTCACATATTTTTTAAATTTTCCTTACCCACTCTGTTACCCGGCTCAATGAGCTGAGTTTTTTTTATTCTTAGCTGTTGGTAAATTGTACCTTGTTGCGAAGTAAGAACTGAGGTGATTGAAGAGAAATAGATCTCTAATGAAGTTTAAGGAAATAATTTTAAGTGGAGCGTGGCAAAAATGTGTTTAATGTAATAGGCCGTATAAGGAAGACACGTGGTTTCCACATTGGATATTTTAATAGGTAATATGTAAAACGCGACTAATAGTGCTTGCGTTCAATTTTTGAAAAATTAAAAGCTTATCCCAATGGTTATGCCAGCGAATCTCTACCTGTTCTTAGTATTTTAAAAATCTTATAGGTTGGAAACAGTCCTTCGTTGGTAGTCTGTTGGTTACATAGAAAATATCTAAACAGTATCAACCACGTACAATGTAGAAAATTCAGAGATTACTCAGAGAAAAGAGCCATTAATGCATTCCTCTAGTTTCAGAGAAACTTCATCCTTTTGTCATCTTTAAGCAATATCTCGAAGCTACCACTTTTATTTTAAAAACGCTCTTTAAACAACGTTGATTGTTTTTGTATATAATTCAAAACTGCACATTTCTTTTGTGGACAACTTGTATATTGGTAATATTAAATCACACCCATAGTATTCTCACAAAGAAAAATCCCATTTAAATGTTTAACTAAGTTTTCCTTTGCTTTAAATTCAACAATTGCTTTAATAACTTATATTTCTATTTAAACAAGTGTGCTAAATGCGTATCCTTATCAAGTTTAGGTTCAATTTATGCCAGAAACAATTTTAGAGTGTTTCTGGAAGTCTGCAACCTTGGCTTTGTCCTTTCATTTAAATTGAATCATTTGAACCAGCTACATTACCTTGGAACTGTGAAGGTGAGAAGGTGGCTGCATATGGGTCCAAAGCAGAACTGGTGGCATGCAGGGGCTGAAGCAAGGTGAGGCATGACGACACAGGTGTGGAAGAGGGGGCTTCGGAGGTGGTCACCACGTGCTGGTGCTCATTCCTCGGTGTGGAGGAACGGCTGCACACCTCGCCACCCACTACTGTAAAGAACATGCGCGGAAAAGCTCACGTCACATACACATGCAACATGCGGCAATGGGTAGTGTTATGTTTTCAATATAAAAAAAAAAGTTCAGCAAGTACGGGGAATGCAAAGCAAGGCTGGATTATAGTACTCAAATGTGATAACATTAAAAATAAAATAAAATAAAATAAAATTTTATGCACTGAATTATTTGTAATATTGATATTAGTATACTTCGCTATTACTTTATCTGAATCAAAACTGTGGTTGTTTACTAAAAGTATTCGAGTAAAACTGAAATTTTTATTTGCTTCCACTTGTAATTATTCTTATTAATGAGAATACTATAATGTTAATTAAGATAATGCTATAGGGCCTGTATTATAAGGATTTTACCACTTTTGAGAGAAAGAAATCTAAATAGTGTAAGATTTATGCAGTTTAAAAGTAAGAAAGTGAATAGTTTTTGCTGCATGAATTTATTCAAAAGTAATTTAGGTAGGGGGCTTATGAGAAAGAAATGAAATTTTACTATTTACGCAATTGAAATTTATTTATTTAATTTTAAAACAAGTCAATTTTTAACAGCATAGCATATTTTTATAAGAGTTTCTATTTAGTATTATGTACTCAAATACTTCAGACGTACTACAGTACTACTTCAGACACTTTCTTATGATAAGTAAATTTTGGAGTAAGATTAAACAATTTGGGAGAAAGTTTGCACTCCCAAATTGTTTAATCTTACGATCTTATGGTTATGTTAAATCCTATGAAACTGAAAATTCAAATTCTTTTGCAACTCATGGCAGAATTAATTTTTGAAGCTATTTAGAAATGAAAATTATTTACAAAGAAATATTATCACTAATACAAATATATCGCAAATATTTATTTACTTTAAAGTAGATATTATTATTAACGTATGAATTTGGACTTCTCAACTTTCAGTAGTAAATAAAAGCTTACAAGATGAAACAAACTAAATCAACTTTAGAAATATATGTATTAGTTTTTTCCAGTTTTGTAACTTATTGAGTATTATAATTCAGCCTTTTAAAACATACAAAACATGCTACATGGTAAAGCCACTTTAAGATCAGTCCATCTTTTAAAGATACGGTTAACCTTTGTTGAGTTTCGTATGCGTATTTTCGTAATTTCTGAAATTTTAAAATCATGCGAATCATATTTTTTTATTCTCATATACTAAAAATATTTGACCATTAACTTGATATATTAACTTGAAAGCAATTTTTCTTCTAATGCTAAGATAAATACGTAATATATATACTGCCCAGACGGGAAAGTAGTTAGTAACTCCGACTGCCGTATCAAACGGCCCGGTTAGAATCCTGGAGAAACATGAATGTAATTTGTCCATCCTTTCATAGGAGGCACTGGTGGACCACCTATTAGATGCCTCTATAATAGAGATCACCGCTTCCGACTTTGGTAATGGCCAACGCCTATAAACTGCTAGAGCTTGCCATTGGAAAAAAAAATATATGTTGCATCAGTTTGCACTATTGCACGAGCATGGTAACTAAATTAGCATAAATATAACGGAAAAGAAATAAATTTTCTTTTATTCTAAAAATATTGAGACAGGTCTACGTTGAAAAGCAATATTAAATTTAAGGCTTTTTAATATTAATTAAAACTTTTACATTTATTGAAAATAAAGAAAAATGTAAAACTGTTAACCTCAAATATACTTTAGTTGAAAAAATATTTAAGTAAATGCTACACTAAAAATAAAAAATTAGAAAACTTGGACTAATACAGTTTTACTATTTAAATATCCCAAGTCTTCTGTTGGATGAGATATGAATCTTCTATTGGAAATAATGTAATTTTGTAACTTAAGTTCAGACCAGCAATAGATAACCAGCAATGCAACAAATTTAATTAACGAGATTTAATTTTTAGTTGTTTAATTTGTTTTTATGTCCCTGTTACTCTAAGCAAGTGTTAGCAAGATGGACTGAGATAATAACAAATAAAGCAAGGTAATACAACACAACAATATTAGCACTGTACTTATACAATCAGAGTAAGTTATACAATCAGAGTGTCTGAGAAATTTATATTAGTAATTACAAATCATGCACATGCAGTCATGCAAGTTACTCATGCACTGACACCAAGATAATAATTAATTATTAAAATAATGACAATATAGTTATTAGTTATTGGGAAGTGTCCTGTACTCAAAATGCATACTTAAAACCCTGATTTCAAGGACTTTTGTTACCTCTAAGAATGCATTGGTAAATCTGTTGGATTATTTATATCAGTACTGCAGTTTCGAGAATAAAGACAATTATTAACAGAAAGATACATTCAAGTATGTTTTTTCTGAAACGAATATAACTGATGACGCGTTGATGGGATAATTTATTTTTCTTTCGATCACAAGAATAACCCTTTTTTAATAATTCTTAATTTTTATTTCTAACCCTTTTTTAATAATTCTTAATTTTTATTTCATTAATTTACGAAATTTAAGAATTATTAAGATCTTTTACGTTTTGAGAGGAAAATATGGGCATGAATAGTACACGATAATTTATTTGATATTTAAAAAGTATTTCATGACTTATTAAGAGCATACAGATATCATCTGATAAACAACACATTAAAAATACCATCACCTCATTTCTCACATAATATATTTTACCACCACCATAAACAAAACCAGCACCAAACTAACACCGTAACCATGCCTTTATATCCCGAATATATTTTCGTCTTTATTTAAAACTTAAAGAAAAGTTTGGAAACTATACCTTGCTGATAATGATGAGATAATGCTGAAGGATCTAGTAAAGACCCTGTTACACCGAGCAATGATTTGTCTTGTAGGCTTAATCCGCCCAATCCTGAACTGCCTGATGACGTCACAAAATGGCCCACCAAAGATGGTGGCCTATTGCACTGATCTGCATAAAATGATGAAAACAGTGAGCCTCTTATAACGATTTAAATATCGGTTGGAGATACACACTATTCTATACAGAACTATTTACATCAATTACGATAATGTTAACTGAGAAGGGAGTTTTAATGATATACGTATAGAAAACTATTAATAATAAACGTTTTTCAAGTAAAAAAATATATATATATATTTGTCTCATAGTTTTATTTTTATGGGAATAGTGTAGAAAATAATTGTAGTAATGAGTTATGATTACTAAAAGCTGCCAAAAACTTCTTTTTCAAAGCAATTACTTACGAATAGATAAGATATGAAAGCAACTGCCAAGGCAATCATAAAAGGGCTCACTGAAAAGTGTAGGCAGTTAATTCAAAAATGGTAATTTTTGTTATAGATCGGTACTATGTGTAGATTAGACTTATAGTGTTTACTTTACAATAATTACAGTGACGAATAGCTAAACTAAAAGTGTCAACTTTACTCTAATAGAGTAGATTCTTATTGTAAAAAAAAATTGCATGTAAATTAAAACATTTATAAACAAATTTACAACACGTAAACAAAAAATGAAGCTATTTCAAGAATGTGTGTCAATATTTATGATATACGAGAAAAGAACTTCCAAGAAACAAATATAAATTTCATGAAAAATATTCAATAATTAATGAGTATGGAGAGTTGGCACTGCTATAAATCTGGTGAACATTCTTCACTCACTGCATTCAATTCAATAAAAGAATATAATGAAATCAATCGATAAATCATTAAAAGGTAACAGGAATCTGAAAATATGAATATTACATTGACAAAGAACGTAATATAGTAAAAACTGTCTTGGCTAAACCACATTATGCAAAATCAAATTTTTCAACCAGAACCTGAAATTCTGTTTTTTCCCCCCTGTTCGATGTTATGCAAATTGTATTTCTTTCTTTGTACCGAGGAGCGGCGCAGACGCAAATTTGTTAGGTTTTTAAAGCTCGCGGTTAGAGCTTCGAGGTTGCTGTGAATTACTGGAGTTTCAACTAAGCGGAGGTTCTTCTGAGTTTGTGTTGGTAAGCCGCCACTGAAGTCGGAGTTTGTGTGGTCTTCGCCGTTCCTCAACTAACTTACTACTATTTGAAAGTCAATAAAGAAGTTTCGGTCAAGTTAGGAGTCTGAGGTTTTTTGGGTTCTATACTGAAGTAACATCAAGTTAATTTACAGTCCACTATTTTTAACAACGGAACGTACATGTTTTGTGGTCCGTCGGCTACGGAGTCACAGTAAATTTGGTGAGTCAGTGTTTTTTTATCTTTCTTATTAGATAATGGAATTTACAACGCTTAAGACTAAAAAGCGTGTAGCTAAAGCTAAGTTAAGTAAACTGAAAGAGAAAATTACCGTGACTTACGATTCTGCTGATGTTGATCAGTTGGAACTTTTTAAATCTAGATTAAATGACTTAATGACTGAACTTTCGGATATTTTTAGTAACATATTTGTAGTGTGTGAAGAAAAAGATATTGATGTATTTATAGAAGAACAACAGGTCATACAAGATACTGTGGATGAGTTAATTTTAATGCTAACCAGAGTTAAGAATTAAGACACAATAACACGTCGAATAAATACTAATGTCTTTAACATTCTGAATCAGAGTCAAGAATGTTAAAGACATTAGTGTGGAAACTAAATCTTGTGAAATAGCGAGTATACGCTTACCTAAGCTAACTCTTCCTGTATTTAGTGGCAGTATTGAAGAATGGTTATCATTTTTTGATTTATTTAAAACGGCGATAGTGGATAATGACCGTTTATCAGGTGCACAAAAGCTACAATATTTAAAGGGTTCTTTAAAAGGAGATGCTTTGAGAATTGTTCAAGCTTTAACTATTTGTGACAGGAATTTCGAAATAGCGTGGCATTTATTGTGTCAAAGATTTTCACATAAGAGAGAATTACTTTCATCGTTATTAAAGAAAATCTTGTATTTATCAAATTTACAAGCTGAAATTCCTAGTCAGATATTAGCGTTAGTAGACACTGTAAGAGAGTGTGTATGTTCGTTTGAAAATCTAGGATTCAAAGTGGAGCAATTCGCGGATACTATTTTAATGTTAATAGTACAGTTTAAATTGGATTCTTCGACGAGAGGGTGGTGGGAAAGAACATTAAAGAGTGAGGAAATACCAACACTTAATAATCTGCTAGAGTTCTTGAAATCTCATGCCAGAACCTTGCAAGCAGGTAAAACGCAAGGTGTTAAAAAACAAGTTACAAAAGACAAATAACTTCATTGGCTTCAGAGATTCGCGCGCAATGTACGAATTGTAAAGCCGGTCATTCAGTTTTTAAATGTAATAAGTTTTTAAATCTGAATGTTCAGGAACGCGTTAATTTTGTCAAGAGAAATAATGTTTGTTTTAATTGTTTGGTTTCAAATCATAAAGCTTTCGAGTGTAGAAGTACACATAAATGTAAAAAGTGCTTTAAAAATCATCACACACTACATTTCGAAAGAGTTCAAAATGAACCAAAGGCACGTAAAGGAATTATGAACAGTTCGAATGAATTATCAGTGACGGCTAAGCCATTTTTCCCTGAGCAAGAACCTCGCGCTCAATCGGCTGGGTCAGGGAAGAATATTGCAAGTTCTAGTCCAGTAATTAAATCTTGTGTTTCAGACTTTAATTTTCAGAGTGAAGTTTTATTATGTACGGCTGTTGTTAAAGTGTTAGATTCATTCATGGGTGAATACAATTGTGTAGAGCCTTATACCAATTGCGTAGAGCCCTCCTTGATCCTGGCAGTCAAGCAAGCCTGATTTCAGAAGATTGTGTACAAAGGCTAGGGTTAGCAAGAAGAAATGCCAAAGTTTTTATTTCATGTTTAGGGTCTTTGGATACGAAAACTAATGGGATTACGGAAATAAACTTCGTTCCGCATTTTCCGGCGAAAGTGTCATTTAAAACACCAGTATTTATCATCAATAGAATTATTGGAACTTTGCCGCATTTTACATTGGATAAGAAGTACGTTGAGGAATATAATGATTTAATGATTAGCAGATCCAACATTTTACAAAAGTGTGGCCTGTTGATATACTTTTAGGCGTAGATATTGCCTTACCTCTTTTAAAGGGAGGGAAATAATTAAATGCGAAGAAGGTAAACCGGTAGCTTCTCGTTCTGAACTGGGATGGATTATTTCAGGTAGTGTGAATAATTCAACAGAAATTAATCCTACTATCTATGCTAATAATATACAAGTGGAAACTGATCAGATGCTGTCTGACTTTTGGAAATTGGATGCTGTACCTACGTTTGACATGCTTACTAAATCGGAGAGAGCATGTGAAGATTATTTCAAATCTACATATACGAGAGAGGAAAGTGGGGTATATACTGTGAAATTACCGTTTCACTCTCCGCCTTCTCAGGTTGGAGATTCCAGACAATTAGCTATGCGTAGATTCCAATCTTTAGAAAATTCACTTCTAAAAAGGCCTCAGATATATGAACAGTATAGGGATTTCATGAGGGAATACCTTGAGCTGAGAAATATGGAGGGAGTGCCTGAGGGAGAGATTCTTATTGACTCTACGTATTACATGCCTCATCATGCCGTATTATTAAAGGAATCAAGTACTACGACTAAACTGAGAGTTGTTTTCGATGCTTCAGCTAAAACGACATTGGGTCTTTCATTAAATGATATTTTGATGGTTGGGCCAAGAGTTCAGCAAGAGCTGTTTCCAATTCTTCTACGGTTTAGAACTCACAAAATTGCAGTATGTGCCGATGTAGAGAAGATGTTCAAATTCGTGTCCACCCAGAAGATACAAATTGGCAACGAATGCTTTGGAGGGATAGTCCTAGTGAGCCCTTGAGTACATTTAGATTAGTGACAGTTACATATGGGACTGCCTGTGCGCCGTATTTGTCTACTGGAGTAATGAAACAACTTGCATTAGATGAACAAGTTAGATTTCCTTTAGCATCAAAAATTGCCCTTCGTGATTTTTATGTTGATGATTTGATTTCAGGGGCACAAAGTGAAGAGGAAGCGAATGTTCTAGTTCAGCAGTTGAATGAAATGATGAAAAGGGGTGGATTTCGCTTAAGGAAGTGGATTTCAAACAGTTCAGCTATTTTAGAGAATATTCCCGAGTGCTTACGACAATCCAGTATTTCTCTTGAAATAAACAGTGACAAGAAAAGTAAAAGTATTGGGAATTAATTGGAACAACTTCTAGTGATACGTTTCATTTTTCGGTATGCATAAGTGATAGAGTTTACTAAGAGGACTATTTTATCAGAAGTAGCGAAAATTTTTGATCCAATGGGATGGTTAGCGCCAACAATAATATACGCGAAAATATTATCACAAGAATTATGGAACTTACAGCTGGGTTGGGATGAACTTGTTGATAAGAGAATAAGTAGGAAATGGAAGCGTTTCTATCTAGAATTGCCCTTACTTTCAAGCTTACAATTTCCGAGGTATGTCTTGAGTCCGAAGGCAGTAGTGATAGATATCCATGCTTTCTGCGACGCTTCAGAAAAGGCTTATTGTGCAGTCATCTATCTCCGTACAATCGACCTTGATTCGTCAGTCAAAGTCAGCCTTCTGACATCGAAAACCAGAGTAGCGCCCTTAAAAAACCCAGTCTCTTCCGAGACTAGAGTGTGTGCTGCGTTACTTTTAACCAACCTCTTACATGCAGTATTATCATGCATAGAACTGCCTATTAACAATATTTACGCATGGACCGACTCGCGGGTTACATTGGCATGGGTTTCGTCCGAACCTCGCCGTTGGCTACCTTTTGTGGCAAATCGAGTTGCAAAAATCCAGGAAACTGTTCCAAATATTCAATGGAATTATGTTGCTGGGAAAGAAAATCCTGCAGACTGTGGGACCAGAGGTTTTATTCCATCAGAATTCCTACAATGTGAGTTATGGATGAAGGGACCGCAGTGGTTAAACGAATCCGTAATTCATGTACAGCAAAATTCA